TAGTTATTACTGCCTCTCCTGCAATATGTAATTGTGGAATAAATTTACTTTTATTGAACCCTTACTTATCCTGTAAACATGGAATATTAACGTAAAAGGCAGCTGCTGTAAAAATGTAAGCTGCTATATATCTTAACATCTTCCACCTGTGTTTTTTAAGGTAAAAGCAAGTACTTGCTCACACAAAAATCCTGATTTTGCATTGTTTTTTTTGCCCCCTAAGTAGTTAAAATAGGTATTTATTTAAAAAGTGTTTATCCCTGCTGATGTTTTTCACTCAGCTGTCACCATTCCAGCTTCAACTGAAAGCCATTTTTCTGTCTGTCCATCAGTGAAGGAAAATTTTCTGCGTTCCCATCTTTTGCACAAGTGGTAGGTTTTAACTGAGCCTGCTGTTTACTCGTTCTTGGACGTGCAGAGGAGATGGATGGTCTTACACAGGTTTTTATGAGAAACCAGTTTTGATTTAAATTAGTGGTAATTGGAGAAGAGTGTTTGCATCTCCTAAAATATGCAGCACCCCTGTACTGTGATCACTAAGAAGAGAAATGGCACCAGATGTTAGGGGTCTTGTATGCCTGGAGTCTTCCCTTTTAATATTCCAAGCTTTGCTTGGCTGAGCAATTTAAATGTATAAAAAAGCACAGGAGTAACTGTATTCCCTGCCTTTTGGGAATGAAAAGTGGTCAGACTGCTGGTACCTTTGGGTGTTTTCCAGGATCCATCTTAGGAGCAGGGAGTGGTCAGGTCTCAGCCTAGATGAAGTTTCCCTCAGCTCATCTCTGGGGTGCTTCAAAGTGTTCTCAGTTTTCCGAGATTTGGGGCTGGAGTAGAGTCTCACCTTGTGCCTTGAACTCCTCCTAGGGAGTCTTTTCCCCTCAGGTCCCTCCTTTCTCATCCTTGTCCTTGGATGGAGCTGTGCTGATGAGGTTGATGCCTCAGGTTTTAGCTTTTTTATTTTTCAGATTCTATGCTGCTTCAGTGTGTACACTCATTTATTCTGGGCTTCATATTAGGGGATGGTGAGCTCTCTTCACAGAGTAGGGAGACAAAACAAGGGAGACCAAGGGTGACTGATCCAAATCTCAGGCCCAAGAGCATAAACAATGCGGACTGAAGAGAGAAAAACAAGAAGGATGGGATTTGATAACCTAAAGCTATAATTTCCAATATGCAAGAACTCATAAAAGTGAGAGACCCCCTGACCGGTTGTCCATTTTGTGACCATTTTGGTTCATTTTGGGTGCAGCCCTGGCTGGGCTCTTGTGCTGCCCAAGGTGGATCCATTGAGGCCTTTTAATAAATCCCTGCTTTATTCTTTAACTCTGCCTAGTCTCTGTTCTAGGTCAGCCTTCACAAGGCGTCAGGGTAGATGAGGAGCTGATGTGTGAGCAGCCCTTTAAACCAAGGCAAGACAGCTCTGTCAGGGCAAATCCTCTGGCACCAGTGTTCCCAGTGGGGATGACTCCCAAAGGAGCACCAAGAGGAGTCAGTTCATTATGGAGGCACCACCCTGGTCTTCCCCCGAGGGAATTCAGTCCTCTGCTCCTCATCCCCGAGTGCAGAGTGGCAGGGCTTTGCTTGGGGAAATGAGCTGTGCTCGCTTGTTTCCATTGGAAAACGTGGTTTGCACGGAGATCCGCAGAGTTCGATGTGCAGCTCCAAGCTCTCCTGCTCAGGGCTCCCTGAAAACCACGTGGGCAGGGAGGGAGCGGAGATGCTGAGCAATGAGTGGGTTTTGACTAACAAAAAGTAGCATTGGAGATGGAAGTGGCAGGGGGTGGGAAGGTTAATTCTGTTGTGGTGCGCTAGGTCAGGCATGGAAGAAGAGGCATTCAAACCAACAGATTTCCCTCCCAACTCGGAGCAGGAATTTCACATGCTTTTCATTATCAATGCCTTCAAGCAGAATACGACTCCCAGTCATTCTGGCTCTTAGAATTAAATTTAGATGTATAAAAACTAAGCGTCAGTTCCCCTCCAAGACCAAATATTTGCTAAATACTAGTTCTCCTTGTTTACAACTCTAAGTATCCATGGTATATCCCTGTTTATTTGCAGAATAGTTCTTGACTTTGCACATAAATTTTGTTTAGATTTTCATTCTACTGATATATTGCAATAAAACCTGTCCCAAATTGGTAGATTGAGTATATAAAAGTACAGACAATTCAACTGATTTTTAAAAAGAGTTGAAATGCTTCTCACTGTCACGATTATTTTTGATATCTGCCATAGATTAAATTGGTATTCATCTGTTTTAGAAATAATTTTTAGAGAGTATTAAATTCAAATATTGTGTTCAGAAGCAGCTTGGGACAAAAATATTTCTGCTTTCTTGAAATTTTTATTCACTTTATGGAAGATCATTGTTCTGATGGAGCAAGGAGGTAAGAAATTTGAGGTGAGGAATGGTCTGTTTTGACCCCACCTGTTGTCCAGTTTGGGGCCCCCAGCATAACAATGCAGAGTTACTGGAGAGATTCCAGAGGAGGCCATAGGGATGCTCCAAGGGCTGGAGCCCCTCTGCTCTGGAGCCGGGCTGGGAGAGCTGGGGGGGCTCACCTGGAGAGCAGAAGGCTCCAGGGAGAGCTCAGAGCCCCTTCCAGGGCCTAAAGGGGCTCAGGAGAGCTGGAGAGGGACTGGGGACAAGGGATGGAGGGACAGGACACAGGGAATGGCTTCCACTGCCAGAGGGCAGGGATGGATGGGATCTTGAGAGGGAATTGTTCCCTGGGAGGGTGGGGAAGCCCTGGCACTGCCCAGAGCAGCTGTGGCTGCCCCTGGATCCCTGGCAGTGTCCCAGGCCAGGTTGGACACTGGGGCTTGGAGCAGCCTGGTGCCTTGCTCGTGTTCAGGCCGTGTGTTTGAGTCACCGAGTTCAGACTGTCCTGGGCTCCTTCCCCTTCCCTGCCCAGACTGTGCTGTGTGTGTCAGTGCTACAACACTCCTGTGCTCACATTGCAGGGAGGAGGTAGATATTTCCCTGGGCTAATTATCTCTCCCATGTGAGAGCAGGAGCTTTTGCAGATGAGGTAGTTTTCATTCATGTGTGGTTTTTGTTCAGTTTTGGTCTTAATTTAGGTCTGTACCACATAGGATGAAGACAAATCCATGTGCATATGTTAAAATCTGACCTTTGGTTTGCTCTCTTCACTCGCTAATGTGTTTTAAAATATTTTAATATATAGCTTCCCAGGCTCCAGATCAATAACCCAATGGGTCTGAAATGACAGAGTGCTACGATATTCCCCTTTAATTTAAACATGATTAGCTGATGAAGGTTATGATCAATATGCTAGGGGAAGATAAATTAATTGATATCATCCTTTCAGGATGATAAGAGGCCTATTGGAGGTGGGATGTAACTAATGAAGCTGCTTCTTCATATATATGAGCCATTCTTTATACAATGTATTCTTACTAAATCATGGTTATGCCATCATTAATTTACATGAAAAACATAAGCCACAGACCAGTTTGTTATTAAAATTACATTCATTTGAGAAGAAACTATGCTTACACTGTCCCTGCTTGTGCTGTAATGTAGTGAGGGAAAATAATCTTGGAATTTACATAATTGTCTTTTTGTGTTTGCTGAACAAGACAGACTGGGTTCTGTTGGCTTCATTCCAACGAGTTTCTGGGGAACTTTTTAATGAGATGCCAGTAAATGTCACTGGTTTTGGTGAAGCTGCTGCAAGTGACTGCAGACTCCTTAGCATAAGTTTTGTGAAGTGCTTCCCTTCGTGAAGAAAACTGCATGCAAGGAAGCTAAATTTAGTTAGTGCCATTTTTGTTTAGCCACTACACAAGTACCTGTTTCCAAAGACTGAATTTTTGATTAGTGTTTAATTTGTGACTCAAAAGGCAGCAAGAAATTTTATTTTTATGTATTTATGACATAAAAAGAGCTCTTTCCAAAGGCTTTAGCTGAATTAGCAGCATGAGCTCAAGTTCCAGTGTGTGATGGGATGAATTTCTGAAATGGTTTGACTTGTTTAAATGGCAAGATTGTAGGAGAGGTTTCGAAGTTGCTGCATTCCACATGAGTTCTGTTTGATCTTTTTTATTATGGGTCTGCCAGGCTGTGTATAGAGATGTTAATGGCTCTGATCCCTGTATCCGTTTGATAAATGCTGCTTTTCCTTCCATGCTGAAGAGAATGTCTTAATAAATTGTGAAAAAAAAAAAAAATTAGGCATTTTTCCAGCTGTGCTGCTGCTGCTAAGGAATAAAAGCTAAAATTAGAAATAATGATGCAGGTTCTTTCCATAAAGAATTTCACTGGGATGTGTGGTACCACCAATCCAGGTATTTATTCGGTGTCAGAGTTAGAATATTAGAACTTTAGGAATATTGGAATTTTATCAGTTCTAATATTCCAGTTATCTTTGTTTTGGGCCTCACAGTGGATTGCCCTGGTGCAGTGGCTGGTGAAACAGGGAAATCCATTTTATTCCTTGGCAGCAGAGGCCAAGCATCTCCTGTCTGCCAGGAGAATATCCCATAGAAGAATGGAAAATGTTTGCTACCACGAGCTTTGTTAGTGTGGTGTTACAAATACAGAGAGGACTTGGTACAGAATTGGTATTGCTTTTTGTAATTTTTCCCCCAAGTCCTCTGATGCTCACCTGGTGGAATAAGACTTCTAGAGTCACATTTTCCATGTGGAGAACCCAGCTGGAGTCTCCCACAGAGAGGACTTGGTACAGAATTCCTGGTATTGCTTTTTGTAATTTTTCCCCCAAGTCCTCTGATGCTCACCTGGTGGAATAAGACTTCTAGAGTCACATTTTCCATGTGGAGAACCCAGCTGGAGTCTCCCATGGGACACCATGGGAAACCAGCACTTTTCCCCATCCCTGTAACACATCAGTTTCTGGAGCAGGCTTTGGTGGTGACCCCGTTTGTGTGCTGTTCGTTGTGTGTTTTCCCACCGTGCCCTGCTTCCCACGAGTGCTCTGCCTGACCTGCCTGGCTGTTTTGTTTCCCTTCAGTTGCCCAGAAGATCGTTTCCACCAAGAAGAAGCAGCAGCTCTCAATCGGACCCTGCAAATCTCTACCCAACTCTCCGAGCCACTCCTCCGTGTGTTCTGCCCAGGTTTCTGCCATACATATCAGCCAGGTACAGACAAAAACAATGCTTGGAAAAGGAGCTGATAAGCTGCTTTTCATCTCTGATGTGTTTCGTGCCATTTCAAGTGCTCTTCTTGCTGCTTGAGAGGTAGTTGCCATTTTATTAATGCTGCCAGTGCTCTGTAGTTTGAAGTGGTATTTGAATTTTTTTTTTTAAGATTGGCTTGAGTTCAAGAAACAAAGTAGCAAACCATAATAATTTGGCTTTAAAGCCTGCTTGGATTGATAAGCCTGCTTTGGTCACTCTCATTGATACCCAGCAGCCTGCAGGTCTTGGTAGGCAAATCATTAGAGTTGCAGGATTTTCTGTGCTGTGGTTCAACATCCCCTTGCTGTGTTTTTGGTGGTTACTCTCACTCAGCTGTGCTGAGCTGATGAATCCCAGTGGTCAGAGTGCTGGAATTTTACACTTGGTATTTTGAGAAACATATGGTTAATACCAGCATTTTCTTAACATTAACATATGGTTAATACCAACTTTTACCCATGTGTATTGCATGCTCCCCTGTGTTTCCCTGACAATGCCCTTCCTCAGTGTCTTTGTTTTCTAGTGTCAACTGATAATCTCTGGCTTATCCCCAGCTGGGATGGATATAAACTGAATGATGTCAGGTATCCACAGCCATTCTGGTGTGGTTTGCAGTGTAAACTCAGTAATATGCAGGTTATTTTGCAGTCCTGCGCCACGCACACGAGGATTTGTTTTGGCTATGGACCTTTATCCCACACAGTGCCTGCTTTTTGGCAGAAGGGAGTAACTTCTCCCACTGGGTTATCGCCCTAAAGATGCAGGAGCCAGTTTAGTCTTCAGAGTTCTCTGCTGTGACTTACTCTGCTTCAGGCTGAGCCCTGATACAACCTCAGGCTGTGACTGTGATGAGCCCAAAGAGAATGTTGGAGTTCAGACCCCCCCCTTCTAAAGCAGGTGCTGAGTGAGGTGTGTTGCACCTCAGAAGAGCCCTGGCACCTTCTGGTGAAGAACAAGTTCTCACATGGGAGAGGTTCTCCCATTCCAGGTTTCCTCAGCTGCTCTGTCTCTGACCAGTTCATGGCCACAGCCCTTGGAACTCGCCCTCTCTGAGGGCATTTCTTGTTAATGAAGCCTTTTTTGCTGAAGGACAGCAAATATCTGGGGGCTCACTGGCTTCCTACACAAGTCTAGTTTGAAGGTCAACAGCAAACACCAAATTCTAGACCAATACCATCACCTATGCAGCAAACTTCTTGCCAGTGATAAGAACTGTTTGGGAAAATCAAGGCAAGGTAGCTTTTGTGATAAGGCTTCCTAGATTCTGTTTCAATAAAAGTGAAATAATGTTCTTTACTGCCTTTGCCAGGTGTCATAATTACCTAAAGGGGCAATTGCATCACCAGTCAAAGATGTCTCTCTTCTGAGACTGATGTCATGCCTAAAAGTAGAGGCCAGAAATCTGTTTCATGTCGTATCTCCTTTGTGCTACACTTAAAGGCAGTATGACCTTGTTTAAGGGAAGGAAGCTGAATCCTTATCCCAGACTTAAAAGAACTTTGCAACTGCAATTCCAAGTTTAAGATGATCTGGGGCAAGATTTGCCATCTCTGATCTTGGCTGGAAGACTGGCTGGTGTCTTGCCCTTTGGAACATCTCTCTTGGCGTAATGATGTTTCTCTGAAGATTTCCTCCATGAATCAAACCTGTTATCGGTGCAGTGCCCTGCCACTTGCATTCTCCACAGGAGCAGAGGCCTTCAGAGGCAGTGGTTACACACAGCACTTCAGCTAAAGTCGGATATTGTTCCATCTCTGGTTGGATCATCCCGGGGATTGAACTCCTGCAAACTCTCCAGATGACTCTGCAGTCAAAAGCTTAGGCTTTAGAGAGAGAAAAAAAAGAGGTATAGTGTCACCTTAGCCAGAGTAGTCCTTAGCATACCTTGGGGGGAATTCTAAGGCTCAGCGCCATCTAGGGCTTCTGTGGTTTCAGTCTGCCACATTGGACAGGGCTTGGAGCAGTCTGGTCTGGTGGCAATTGTCTCTGCCCATGGCAGCGTATTGGAATAAGATCAGCCTTGAGGTCCCTTCCAATCCAAACAGCTCTGGGATTCTGTGACAAACTTGTCTGTGTGTGTGGGTGCTTCTCCATCCGCGTGTCCAGGAGTCTGAGGTGGTGCCTGCCTCAGTGAGATCCCTTCCAGAAAACGCTCTCAGGAATGTCTGTAGCTGCGTATTTCCAGAGGCCTGTCCCACACAGTAAGATGCTTCCTATTTCAGAGACAAAATCCACTTGTCTTTGTAGCAGATGCTGCTTAATTCTCCTTCTGACTTAGTTTTTAGTGTCTATATCAGTCAAGGGGAAGGTTTTCCTTGAAAACCCATGTAAGTACTTCAGGTACCTCTGTTGGCTTTCAAGGCAGCACAGAATGCATGGAAAGAATTTTATTCTCAAATCCAAGGATTACCATTCATGAGCATGATGGACAGAGCAGTTGTATACTCTGTCAACAAGAGGGATGAGCAACAGTGCTTACATTCTGTCTGCTGCATTCAGGTATTCCAGTCAGAGTCCACTGTCTGGCTTTTTGGAACACTTCAAGAGGTAGACTGAGCTGTTTAGAGGGGAAGAAGTGTTGTGCAGTAGATTGGGGGCCTCTTATTGGCCACAGGACATCTTGGAGTAGGTCTTTAATTTACATTTTACAAGTACAGACCAGTCACTTCTGTATCTCTGTGTTCTGCATGTCTGTCCCATTTTTCATTCCCACATTCCCCTGTGCCTTGACATTCTTCATGGGCATGATATGCTTGTATACCATGCTAAGTCTAATTTCAGAGAAGAATGAGTTCCCTTTTCCCTCACAAAACCCCACAGAGGCATTCCTTTTCCCTAAATTCATCCTGGTGCTGGAGGAATTGCTTTTATACCTGACATATCAGGAAGGCAATTTTAAGATACTAACTTAGAAGAACAGTGCCAATAGAAACAGTTCCAAAGGGCTGTTTACTCTGCTCAGCCCCTGGAAGTGGAAATGATCTGGTTCCCAAACCCATGAGGCTGCTCAGCTCAGCCCCACCTGTGGTCCTCAGTGCCTCTGTGGGGGTTGGATAACCTGCCGAGGAGTTACCTGCAGCTGGTTGGCACTGTTGTAAAAACAGCTGGAAAAGCCTTTGGCACAACAGCTGCTGTTGCTGTTTGTGTGAAAGGCTCCAGGCCCCTTTCCAGACAAATTGATGTGCAGATTCCAAACAGGAATCCCCAGCAGTAAGCTGCACTTTTGAAGACAGAGATGGAAAGATTGTTTTGCCAGTGACTAATTCCTTGAAATCTGCAGTCTGCATATGTTTTCACACTGGCTGGCTTTCCTGGAATTCACCTGTTAGTTCTGCTGTGAGAGGAGATTGAAAATGGCACCATGTTTCCATGTCTGCCTGGTCTCTGTGCATTCCTCAATGACAGAGTGACCTTACACACCATTTGGTGAAGAAATTTTCTCCAATATTGAATCTAAACCTCCCCTGGCCCAGCCTGGGGCCGTTCCCTCTCCTCCTGTCCCTGTTCCCTGGAGCACAGCCCGACCCCCCCGGCTGTCCCCTCCTGTCAGGAGCTGTGCAGAGCCAGAAGGGCCCCCTGAGCCTCCTTTTCTCCAGGCTGAGCCCCTTCCCAGCTCCCTCAGCCTCTCCTGGGGCTCCATTCCCTTCCCTGGACACACTCCAGCCCCCCTCAGTGTCCATCCCTGTGGACTGCAGTGCCAAGAGTTATGCTTCCTGGTCAGCAGTGTCATTCCCCAAGGAGATTTCCATTACTCCTGGGAAGGTGTGGAGCTTAACATCAACTACAAAGCTGCAGCTCAGGTGTTGCTGCCACACAAGCTCGCTCCTTACTAGCTGTTGTAAATCTGTAGTGATGCATTAATCATGTTTGCACAATGCCTCCAGACAGTTTTTACTACAACATCATTGTCCAAAAACATAAATTAAACTACTAAAAGCACAGTGCAGTCAGCTTGGTCATCCATTATTTCATTCTATGTCAGACCTGATTATTGAAAAACTTTCTGGAAATTTTCTGGAATGTCAAAACTAAAACTAAAAGAGGAATGATAATGTATTTAATGCCACATATGTCACAATCCTTTTGTATTTACAGGGTTGTTTCTAACTAACCTAATATTTATCTAGAACAAACATTTTAGATACCTTCCTGTGAGGGTGGGCAGGCACTGTCACAGGGTGCCCAAAGAAGCTGTGGCTGCCCCTGGATCTCTGGAAGTGTCCAAGGCCAGGCTGGACAGGGCTTGGAGCACCCTGGGACAGTGGAAGGTGTCCCTGCCCATGACAAGGAATTGGAATTAGATGGTCCTTGGGGTCCCTTCCAACCCAAACCATTCTATGGTTTGCAAGTGTTTCTTTGGTTGTGTTTTTTCATTGTTCCAGGCAGTACCTTATTTTGAAATCACCTCAGAGTTTTATTTACAAAGTTGGAAATCCACTGGGCTTGGCTTGTGAGAAGAGAAACATTGCCTGCAGGACTTCTTTTAAAGAAAATCTCTGTGTGTCTTTGGGGAATAGAATATAAAACAAGTTTGTGTTTTCCTTTAGGAGTTACTTATAAATCACTTAGAAATCCAGGAGACAGCTGCAAAAAGTGTAAAATGATGCTATAAAATGATGAAGGATTTTAAAGGCAGAATTTTAGGGAATCTTTCATTTTCTCCATCTGGGAAGTAGGCTCTTAGGGTATAAATCTGGTAATTTCAATTTAAAAAAAATGAAATTTCCTTGCCACCCTTCTCATCTCCAACACATCCAGTGGTTTGGGAACAAGCTGCTACAGAGACAGGAAAAGCAAATGTGGGGTAATTGAGGCCACTTGCTCCCAGTTTGTCCTGCTCATCCGTCCAGTGTTACTGTTCTCCATTAGGACACTAAAAACGATAATTCCAGTTATGTTATTTCATCTCCTTTGTTTTGTACACATCTCCCAGTTCTGCTGCTGCTTCCTCTGGCACTTGAGAATGTTGTAGGAAATGTCTCTGGCCCTGCTCTTGCTTGCAGTGCCTTCACTTCTGCTCCTTGCTTTTTTGGGAAAGCTGCTAGAATCAGAAGAGAGTTTGGAACTTGCAGAGACTTCACTGGGGGCTGTAAGGGGTTGTCTCCTGCTTTTGCAGCCTGACTGGTTACAGCTTGAGATCCCCATCCCCAAGAAACATGAGGGAAGTCCCATGAGGCATCTTTCTCCTCAGGAATTCTGGAAATACCCTCTTACCACCTTTCCTCACTTCCTCCATGAAACTTGACTGCTTTAAAGATGGCCTTTCCCCCTTCTCTGTGCGTCCCAGACATTTCTTTTCCCTCCAGAATTACGTGTGAGTTACTGCCCAGCCCCTTCATCCACTGCTGCTCCTCTGCTGAGTTTTCCATCCCCAGCAGGCAGAATTTTCCCTGTTGTCCCGCTCCAGTCCCCCAGCAGCACATAGAGCATCTCCTCCTTCTGTGGTGTTTTTAGTGCTTGTTTATGTCATGTCTAATAAGTCCTTTTAAAGAAAAAAAAAAGACTTAATGACATTTTGATCCTTTCCATTCTGTCTGGTTTCCTCACCTTCCTCCTATTTGTGACCTCTGTTCATTTATTGTTTTATAGGCTCAAAGCTTTATTTCTTTCAGGACTAGGATGTAACATCACAGTTTTGGCTGCTTAGAATAAATTGGAATATCTTACTTACAAGTTTTGTATCTTTGCACCAGTGGCTTCATCAAATCCTGTGCAGGGCCAGGAGCTGGACTCGATTGTCCTTGTGGGAGATTCTGTGTTGTTTGGAATATGTTGGGATTTATCCAACCCCTTTGTAGCCATTTTACAACCCTGAATTATTTTCATTTTCTTGTTCAGCTTTCAGTGATCTGGTGTCTCCAGAGTAGGTTTAACTCCAGCTATGCAGCTCCATGGCACTGGATATTTAGAATTTAATTTAGTAGAAATCCAGATGTAGAAGGTTTTCCCCAGTATTTTGCTTGCTCATACACTAGAAAACAAATGAAACTGTTGCTACCCAGTTAAGGTTATACTGTGTAGAATGAAATGTGCCTGCTGTATAAACAGAGCTATCTAAGTATTCAAAAAATAATGGTGGGGGAGATGTTTAAAGGCTTGGAATAGAAATGTGTGGGGAAAGTGGCAGTAGGGCAGCCCTGCTGAGCCCCTGAGCCCTGGCTGCACTTCTGCATCAATTTGGAGTAAATCAGGAGTAAATAAGATACAGCTGTGGATTGTCATTTCTTGAAAGCAGCGTACCACTGTTTAAAACTCCCTTTAATCCTTGCAGACCAGTAATGGAGGAGGGAGTTTAAGTGATTATTCCTCCTCTGTCCCATCAACTCCAAGCACCAGCCAGAAGGAGCTGCGGATTGATGTTCCTCCCACTGCCAACACACCAACTCCTGTCCGTAAACAGTCCAAGCGCCGATCCAACCTCTTCACGGTGAGTCAGCCAGGGGACCTCTGCTGCTCTGGGGACAGCCTGAGCTTCAGCCCCCTGCAGCTGGGCTGCTCTGATGGCACAGGCGTGCTGAGACAGAGCTATGCAGTCAAAAAGAAGAATATCCTGGAATCATCGTTGGGTGGTTCTGTTTGACACTTAAACAGGAGTGCTTTTCCTAGGAAGACAGGCTGAGAGGCTTGAGGTTGTTCAGCCTGGAGAAGAGAAGGCTCCAGGGAGACCTTAGAACCTTTTTCAATGCCTAAAGGGGCTCCAGGAGAGCTGGAGAGGGAATTCCACTGGCAGGGCACGGATAGATGGGATATTGGGAAGGAATTCCTTCCCTGTGAGGGAATTCCACCCTGTGAGGCCCTGGCACAGGGTGCCCAAAGAAGCTGTGGCTGCCCCTGGGTCCCTGGCAGTGTCCAAGGCCAGGCTGGACAGGGCTTGGAGCAACCTGGGAGAGTGGAAGGTGTCCCTGCCCATGGCAGGAGTGGGACTAGATGGGCTTTAAGCTCCTTCCCAAACCAAATTATTCCATAACTACTGCAGTCTACTTTTGTTACTATATGGAATCAGTTCACTTTTTTCTTCTCCAGGGTTAAGAAAAAAGATGGAGATTAAAGTAACTTTTTTTTTTCCTTTCCAAACCACCTGTTTTTTGCTTCACTGAGAGGCCAAAAAACCCAAAATCAAACGAAAAAAAATCAAACAGAAACCTGCATGGTGCAGTATGATAGGTCTCTGTTATGCAGAAACAGTCTGGGAGATGCTAGTGGAGCCCTGAGTGAAGGTTTCCTTGGTTTAAGCCCTCTTGCTGAAAGCTCTGGGATCGTGTTGCAGGTGTAACTGTGATTTGTAAGCAGTTTTTTGACAGGTCAGACATGTCTCAGCAAACTCAGAATGGATGTGGGCTCTCCTGTTAACTTGGAGGTTGTAGCTACATGTTAGTTGTGTTTAGGAACCTACAACTTTCCCGTCAACATGGAGAATTTATATATTTTATTCCAAAGGTCATATCATGTTCACTTCCCACATATAAACACGAAAAAAACATTTCCTCAGACTGAGGGAAATCTGAGCTCTCCACCTTCAGCAAGTGGAAAGTTTGTCACCATTCTGGAGCTCTGATTGACAGCACAGATCCCCAGGTTTCCTCTCTCCCTCCCAGCAGAGGTATTTTGATTTAAACCCAGATCTCCCAGTCCTGTGAAGGAGAGGAAGTCATGCATTTGTGTTTGGGTGCAGATGTGTAGGTGGAAAACAACAAAATGAGTGGCCTGGGAAGAAGTGTCCCAGCTTTGACGCCGATATTTGACAGCAGCTGTGCAGATTTCTTCCCATTGGTGGGAACAACCTGAAGTTTGGTGGGAGAATTCCAGAGTTCCCAGCCCCACTAGATGTCAGTGTCAGCCCAGAAACCAGCAGCAGTCAGAGCTCTGGAAGCAGCACTGGGATGCTGCTGCATGCCTGAAAACATCGCCGTCCATCCATGGCCGGGCTGAAGGATGTGTGAGGGGCTGCCAGGGCTCTGGAGGTGGTGTTGGCATTTGGGAAACTGGGAATGTTTCAGCTTGGAGCAGCTGTAAATTTGAGAAAGGGAGGAGAGAAGAACAGACCCATCTACAGTCTCAGGATGGTTTAAGAAGAATGTTAAGTCAGCTGCAAACAGACTAAAGCTCTGGTTTGTGGTAATTAGTGAGAGCCATATTTACTAAGATGAGAGGGTGTTGATAGTTGTCTTAATGTCTGATAACTGGGAAAAATAGTAATAATTTGCCTTTGCAAATTTAGTTGTGTCTTTTAAGGTGGGTGTAGTGAGATTGTTTAATGAGTTGCTCTGTAATCTATGTCCTGAAGTACTTAACACCCACTCTGCTGTAACCCAGCTTCTGTGCCAAGTTATAACCTGGAATTATTTAATTGAATAAATAGATAACTACACAGAAAATGCTGATTATGAACAGAGTGTGTAATTAAAATATTTTACTGTTTAGCTCTGGGTTTCTTGCTGTGCTTCTCTTCCCAGTCACTTAAGCCTTTATCTCTTACAGAATCAGACATATTTCTGTTTAATAATTCCACGTTACCCCTTGTTAACAGGAAATCTGTTTAGTGATCTTTAGATCTTCCATTGTTGGAAGAGGACTGGGCTAAGCAGAAAATATTTGATTCTTCTTAACTACAGTTTTTTAGTTGGAATAGGGATGGGAATTTTAAACATGTTCAGTGCATTAAATGCAGCATCACATATTTTTGACATTGAGTATTAACGTTTGTTGTAAAGCTGTTGTTGCAGCAGCTGATTTTCTCCTTAAGTGATAAGATAGATGAAATATTAGAAAAATGTATATCCTTTGTTTTGAACAGTGTGATAACAGGGACCACCAAATAATCTTGTATAGGGCAGGTGAGGATTTAAAATGTATTTATGAGGTTCACTGGGCAAGAAGCTGATTCTGACCATGTCTGATCCCACACTGGGTGAGGGAATTTCTGGCGTAGAAAGGTGGATCACCTTTCCCACATTCAGTGTTACCTGTCTTACATATTTACAGAATTCCAAGGGAATTTTTCAGACTTAAAATGAGCTCCATGTCTCCATCTCTAGTGTTAGAGATGAGTATTTTACTTTTGGGGTGCTCAGCACTGCTGATCTGGGTCTGGTTGTGCCCAAAGTCAGATGTGACATCTTGGGCCAAGTTTTATGTGGATTAAGTCTGTGAGTGACTTCCAGTGCATTGGGGAAATCACTCCAATGATGTTCTTGCAGGTACTTTCATTTTTCCAGACTTTTTTTGGTTTGCTGGCACCAAGTTTTAAATAGAACCATTTATTGTGTAGATGTGCCATAAGAAAAAGTCCTGGGAAGTGTTGCTGCAGCATGGTTTGGAGTGGATTTTTTTCTGCTAGGATATAAGACATATTGTGTGTGTCATAGGTACAAAAGCATAAAAGATCAGATTTCTGTTTCACTGCACAATTTATCTTTATAAATAGCGGAGCGTGCGAAGATTCTCCTCTGGAAAACATTAGGGATTCTGAGACTACGAACAGCTAGAAGGGAATTTGCCCAGCAGAAATCCCTACATTTCTGTACTTTTGGTATTTACCAGTGTTTTGCTCATAGACATTTCCCTTCCATGTGCAGTGTGTGATTTCCAGCTGCAGTAACTTTTTAGGGAATGGTGATGATTTAAAACCAGAAATGAAAAACAGCACGTAGATATTCAGCCTGCATTTCAGAGGCAGGGTTCTTTCTCTAAAAAAAAGTCAGATAAAAAAGAAACATTCAAGTTGACAACTCCCCTCCCAAGGATTTGGGCACCTTCACTGAGTTTCTTTACAATGTCACTTACGGGCGCCTTGCGCCATTGAAGCTTTGTTTTGCCTTGTATTCTTGGGAAGTGGCACTTTCAGAGGCAGAAATCTGTCTTGAAGGACGAGGAACAATAGTTATTCTGCACACTGGATTTCATCCCTCCCACTTGTTTTGCTTGCTTTCATTTGTTCTTTGTTTAGTTCCCCGGCACGCCATTCCATTGCCCCGAACCATAGTAACTGGCGATCGGAGCCCGTTCCCGGCGGAGCGGGGCCGGCAGCGCGGGATCCCCGCTGGGTGAATGCGTAGCTCAGAATGCTCTTACTCCGAGTCCTCCCCTCACGCCCGAGGGCAGCTGCTCCTGGGTTTTATTCTTCCTCCCACCCCTTTGTGAGATGGGGGAGACAGGCATTAGCGATCCACGCTCCCGATTCTCCTCCTGATTTCGGAGTCTCTTCCCGCTGGAGCGGGCTCTGGTTTTCATTGCCCCAGTTCTCATGCGCTCCCCATGGCGGTGCCGGACACCGCCAATGGGCTCCTTTCATGCATCATCACCGAGTTGAAAAGCGCTCGAAAATGTTTTCCCATTTCCGATATTGTGTGAGTAATGTTCCCATTGGAAAGTAATGGAGTGAAGTTGTCACTTGTCAGCGCAGTTATTAAGGAGGATGACTCTCAGGTCTTCTTTTTGTAATAAAATAAATCCGTCAAAATCACTGCGCCCGTGCGTTCTGTCGCAATAACGGGCTGCGATCTGAATAGCTTCTTCACATTCCCATAGAACTTGATAAAGTCATGAAGGGAGCGCTGTGACCTCACTCCTTCCAGCTTTGGAGGAAGCCAGGATAAAGCAACTCGGGTTTTAGACATTGGTAAAATTCTCCTCATGCTAATTTTTCCACACTGTGTTCAGATAACTTTTTCCAGTCACCGGCTTTTCTTGCAGTTCCAACTTTCTAACTGTCCCAAAGCAGAAAAGAAAAATGTTGAAGTCCATATGGTCAAATCCAGTATTATAAAATCATATTTCTAAATAGTTGCTGACATTTCTAAGAGCCACACAGGTGTGAATTAAATGTATGCATGGCTATATAAAATTTTTTTTAACGAGGAGATGGCACATTCATTCCTCTTTGGAGCTACTGTTGGAAACTTCAGAAACGTGTCCTCTGATGTTGTGGGTCTTCAGACAGTGAAGCTGTAACTCTTTAAACCCCAATGCATTTCAGACTAGTGGATGGTTGAAATCTATGGGTGGCGGACAGGAAATTTATTCATTTTTAGGATGGTTGTGTACTTGTGTAGATTCAATTTTGAGCCTGTATTTACCTGCCAAAGTATTTTTAATTGCCCCAAAAGAAAAAAAAGGCAAATAAAAGCATCCTCTGTGTGCATTTAATGGAGCACAAACTTTTCTTTTCGCTCTGCAGTCTCGGAAAGGGAGTGACCCAGACAAAGAGAAGAAGGTCCTGGAGAGCAGAACAGACAGCATTGGAAGCGGCCGTGCAATCCCAATTAAACAGGTAATGCCGAAATAGTTGTATTTTTTTTTTTTTTTTTTTTTTCCTTCCCTGCTTTCCATAGTTGGGAGACAAGACACACCTCGGGTCCAGGCACGGCGGCGGTGGCAGGGCGAGCGCGGAGCGGCGTTTGATGTGCGCCGGTGATGAATGTGGAAGTCACTCACTTGACATCAATTAGGAGAGGTTCCTATGTGTATTAAAATAGGATCATTAGAATAAGAAGAGGGAAAATGTGACAACAGGCCTAATGAAGTGCAGTCTGCCGGCCTGCATATGGAGCGGGTTTCTAGGCTGTGCTGGCTTCAAAGCTGCCTTTGTAGAGGGGGCTTTGATTGGGCCGAGTGCTGCCAGGCGCAGGGTAAATCAGATCGCTCGACAAGAGCCCCTTGTGATGGCAGGAATAGCCTGATGTGGCCCTAATTTGCTACCACAGACGGACATCTGAACACAGTTTCAGGCTGCTCCCTAACAACGAGGCAATTAGTTGTGATAATCATGGCCGGTGTGTCAGCTGCGCGCTCTTGTTTGTAATTTGCTAATGAAGGAATTGTAACTTTGATTAGGTTCAGTTTCATTTAGACCTTATTATATAAGAGAACGTTTACAGCTGTAATGTGTGGCCTTAATTAAACTTTCTCATTACACAACAGGACTTGAAGCCGAGGATTTGTTTTGGTCTGTTTTTACTAGCCGAGATGCACTTCCATTAGCCTGGAAACTCGATGCTAAATTGTAGCTGGGAACACTCCTTTCAAAGGCAAAAGCAGTGCCAGCGTTGGATGGGAAGTATTTGGGGAATGAGATGATTTACTTGCTCAAATGAAATGGCACTGGGTCCATGTGGTTGAGATCTCCACATTCCCATGGAATGCTTCTCACACAGTTTTTCTGTCAGTGTTTGCAAGTGTTGACTCATGTGTGAGAGCTGCCTTCCTAGAGATAAGCTCCCTTTCTTTTTCACTTATTTTCTTTCCACATGTTTCTTTCCAATTGTTTTGGTGCCTTTCTTCCCCTCCAGAGGCTCACTTGCCTCTCCTGATCTTCCCTCCGTCCATGCCCTATCTGCCAGGTAGCCCTGGATGTGGAGTTGGGTTTACATATTTTGGGGTGTTTTGTGTTTTTCCTCTGTTTCTGGATGCAAGGAGGAGTTGATTTTGTACCCTTAACTATTAGCTGTGATTTTTCTTCCTGAAGTCATTCTAAAAGACCTTTTGGGACCATCAGGCAGCAAAAATGCTGTCGTGTGTGGTTCTCTACTAGGCAAATTTTAATCAAGCACACTGCAATCCAGAAGAGCAGTTTGAAAGCAGAGGAGTTCAGCATTTGGCTCTGCATTCAGGGGAGGAGATTCCAGGCATTTAAAGCAAGCTGCAATTTTATTTTCCTATGGCTTTTGTATGGTACAGGATGGGTTAGATCGGCTGCAATCCTTTTGGGTAATGCTAATTAAACAAGAGTGCAGCTGAGAATGTAAAACTGAGGAATAGATGTGCCAGTATTTATTCCAGGCATAAATAACTGTTCTTTCCTAAAATGCTGTTGTATGGAATTAATTTGATTAAAAAGACACTTGTAGGAAGAGTTTTATGAGGTAAACATTGTAAGTGTGATTGTGCCACAGTGTGTTGTAAAGAAATAGGTCTTACAATATCTGGAATTTCTGTATGGAAAAGCTCTCCTTGCAGCCCTGCTTATGTACCGAATATGACCAATCTTTTGAGAACGTGTCCTCCTTGTTACTAATCCCAATTATGGTAATTTCATTTTGTCACCTACAAGCCACTACCCACAAACCCTTGATGTGCATCCTCAGCAGGTCCATCCCATTCTTTGGGCTTTGGGGTGAGAGCTTGGGAGGTTTTTGCAGTGCTGCAGGGTGGGATGTGCTCCCAGTGGGATTTCACATCGTTCTCAGATGGATTCAGGAGGATTTTGGAGGTCTGGTCAGTAGAGGTGACTCCAGGTTCAGTTGCTGATACAGCCACGTTCTCAGGGGGCTCAACAGGTGCCAGGTCCTTGGAGCTCTCTCAGGCAGCAGAAATTCCTACTGGGAAAGTTGGTGCCTTTTATTTCATGCCTTAACTGGGAATAAGACAGACGTGGAAGTGAACTTCTCAAGCTAAAAATCTTTGTGCTGCTGTTCTTATGATGAGAAACCCCTTCCATGATGATGTTTTCTGTGACAAATGGAGTCACAGAGCCATTAAGGTTGGAAAAACCCTGAAAGATCACCAAGTCCAGTGCTGAAACAAGCACTGCCAAGGCCACCATTAACTCATGTCCCCAAGCACCACATGCTCATGGATTTTAAATCCCTCCAGGGATGGGGACTCCACCACTGCCCTGGGCAGGTGTGCCAATGCCTGACCACCCTTTCTGTGAAGAAATTTTTCCTTACAGCCGACCTGAACCTTCCCTAGTACAACTTGAGGCTGTTTCTTCTTGCCCTGTCTCTTGTTGCTTAGGATACTTGGGAATAGAAGGAGAAATCTGGTTTCAAGCTGCAGCATTCCCAGGACTGCTGTGGAAAATACAACTAAACAACAACAACAACGAAAAAGCTCCACCAAAAAAACCCCCACAAAACAACAACAAACAAACAACAAAACCAAATCAAACAACAGCCCACAAACACATGATAAAACCTCCAGCCAAATCAAGTTCCTTGGAGGCTGGAAATGTTCTGGTTTTGAGGAAAAAAATGGAATCTTCCACCAAAAAAAACCCCACAAAACAACAACAAACAAACAACAAAACCAAATCAAACAACAGCCCACAAACACATGATAAAACCTCCAGCCAAATCAAGTTCCTTGGAGGCTGGAAATGTTCTGGTTTTGAGGAAAAAAATGGAATCTCTCCCAGCACTATGGAAGAGTTGTTGATCATTCTGGGCCCCCGGCATGGACCTGCACAGCTGCCAGTGGGTTTTGGTCAAAAGAAGCCAGGAGCTGCAACCTGCTCCTGCATTGCTGTCCTTGGTGCCTGAATCCCTGTGGGTTTAAGGGAAATCCCTGAGAGTTTGGGAGAATTTGGATGGTGCCCTGAGCAACCTGGTCTAGGGGAAGGTGTCCGTTGGAATGAGATGGGCTCTAAGGGCCATTCCAACCAAACCATTCCAGGGTTCCATGAAGGAGGTAAAACTGTCAATAGCCTCTTTCCTTCCAAGGAAACACCTCATTCCTTCAGAGTTTTATCCTTAACTCAGAGCAGCCTGGTCAAAAAGAGTTAATGATCTTATTCTCTGTGTCCTTTCTACATGGTAAAGCTGATTTTTCACTGCAGTGCTAAATTTGGTTTTATTGGGCTAAGCCATATAAAACTGTCCTGATGACCCTTCCTGCTCCCAGCAGAAACCCAAAATGTAGGCAATGAAAAGCAGGCTTGTTTTTAAATGGTGGCTGCTCGCTCCTGCCAAAATACTCTTAAAGTGAGTGAAATTTTGGGAAGGCAGATTTCCTGGGGAGGTAGCAATACCTTGTGCATGCACAGCCACATCAGCATGTCTTAAATCCTGGACTTTTAGCAGCTGCTGAGAACTGGGAATGTCAGAAAATTTTAAAAATTATACAAAATTTCACTTGTGTGCTATTGAAAAATCTTGTGCAAATCAAACAGAGTCAAAAAAAGTCTTGAGCAATATTGGCTTCAAGTTAAAATCCATAGCAAGTTCTGTACTTCTGAGAAAAGAGGTGCTTCAACTAAGAATATTTAAGCTATTTTCTGTAGCATTGCTAATAAAAGTGAGTGGCTTCTGTGGTTGGAGAATCCTCACTCCAAACCCATTTATTCTGGAAAATAAGTCTTGTTCCTGGTAGCCTGAGTGAATATTTTGAAGAATATTTTGAAGCACACATTGGGCTGCACGCTTTTGGTGAATTGACTTTCTAGGATGGGAGGTTTTGTAGCGTTTTGGGAAAATTACTTTGGTTTTTGTGGGTTTGGGAAATCTTTATCAGTAGGGCATATTCAAATTAAAAAAAAATGCACACAACAAGAAAAATAAAAGCAAGAAGCTCAGCTCAGCGGTGAGGGGGCTTGTCATGTATTAATTTTTCATTGCTGTGGAGAATTGTACATACATAATCACTTGATTGCAGTGGGAGTTAGCGAGCTCCTATGGTGTCATTTGCATAAATCTTGTTAAGTCAATGGCAGTTAATGAAGTACAAATGAGCCTGGAGAAGGTGACATGCAAATCGTGGGTGGCAGATGGGAGGTCTGTTTTTGGGATGGCAGCTGTGTGCTCTTTATTTTTTTTTTTTTAATTTTTATTATTTTTTTTCTCTCTGTCCTGCCCCCATCCCCCCCAGACTGGAGTGTAAATAAATAGTTAAGAGCTGGCCTTGACTTTCTGCTCCCAGCCCTTCTTCTCTTTGCCCTTTGCACTTAATCACAGATGCTCACATCATTATATACTCCAACCATATAACCTTGACTGTTCTTTTACCAAAAACTGGCCAAAATCAGTGTTTGACACGTTGCCTCCACCCTTGGCTTACCCTGCGAGGTGCTGCCCCTCTCGTGCCCCCAAATTGCTGCATCATTTAGGGATGACAAACTCGAAGCCTCGATTAGAAATAAATGTTCTAATGGTTAGTGCTGTATTGATGACACAGTGAAAAATTTGCCATCCATGACTTGCAAAGGTGAACTTCAGAATCCATTCCCTTCCCTCAGTTTGCAAATGGCTGGATTAATGGAGAAAGTGGAATATCTTATTCAGGCTTTACTTTTAGGTGATATTTCAAATGACCTTCTTTGCCTGCCAGCTTGGCATATTTAAGTACATTAAAGTAATCTTAATGAAATTAGGTATTTTGTCTTTTTTTTTTTCCTTTACTCTGACCTAAAAATGGCAAATATTTTTTATGTCAAGGCATGGGGGTGGCATCACTGATTTGCTATTTATGAAGAAGAGTTTGGTTCCTGAATGTACAAGCTGCAGTTTTTCCTTAAGATGGGCATAAACAAAACTGGCACTTCCCAATGTACATCTG